TGGATTGACACAATGCCCTGGATCACAATCCACAATGCGACCGGACTCCGAGTCTCGAATGGCCACCTGAGTCACCCCAAATATTGCTTCTCCTCCCAATCACCCCTTCTTGGGGTGACCAAGTACACACCGTGCATTGAATCTTCATCAGTGGTGGGATTCAAATAATTGGACAACGGGTTCTCTGCTCTAATGACTGGCTGGGTGGGCACGGATGGGGGCCAGCCAGCAATTTAACAACCGGTTCGGCCAAAGTGGTCCAAACCGGTTGAGTCCCAGCACTGGTCTTCATCCTATCTGCTTCCTGATGCCATTAAAATCTTACTTAGGCCCCTAGCGTCTCTCTGTTGCAATACCCAAACACTACTCTAGTGTTTCCTATGTCTCTTTCCTGCCACCTGGGAGCTTAGAAAGCATCCAGAACCTCACAGTCCTCCTCCCCATCTTCCTCTTCCTCTCTGCAGACTCCACTCCCTTCTAGCACTGATGATGTTACCTTGTTGGGTCATGAAACGTCTGCAAACGTCAGCGAGGAAACCACCCAGGTCAGAATCTTCTCCTCTTCCTCTTCCTCTTCCTCCTCTTCCTCCTCCACCTCCTCCTTCCCCCCTTTCACTCCACAAACCCTACTTCCTTCCAACACCGATGATCTTACCTGACGGGGTCATGAAACATCCGCAAGGAAACAGCTCAGCTCCTGGAGCACCAAGGACCCCACAGATCATCCCTGTACTCTCTTCTTTTGGCCAGCACTTTCTTAGAAAGCATCCAGAACCTCACAGTCCTCCACCCCATCTTCCTCCTCCTCCTCCTCCTCTTCCGCTCTGCAGACTCCACTCCCTTCTAGCACTGACGATGTTACCTTGTTGGGCCATGAAACGTCTGCAAATGTCAGCGAGGAAACCACCAAGCTCAGAGACCGCTACAGTCTTCTTCTCTTCCTCCTCTCTCTCCTCCTCCTCCTCTCCCTCCACAAACCCTACTTTTCTGTTTTCTGTTGGAAGAATTATCCTTCTGGGTTCAGTTCCAAGCGGGGAAGAAAGACACTGGAAACATGGAGGCTGTTTGGAAAGACGGTTTAATGGTGGACAGGATCACACGCCTTGGGTGAAGAAAGAAGGGCAGAGATGCTGAGAGTCCCTTGGTTTTATGCCCTCTGGATTTGGGATTTGAATTTGAGCTTGTATTCTGATTGGTTGTCAGACTCCCATGGGGCCGTGCGGGGGGCAACTCTGTAGGCTGTCCTGAGTCCCAGGCTTGGTTGAGCCTTCGCTGGATGATGATGTCATGAAAGGGCTTTGGGCAATTCCTATTATGGCTTTACCCGGAGTAGATCTTTGTTATGTAGAACAGACTGGACCAGGCCAGAGTAAGGGCCCATTAACAAAGGTGGGAGTGAGGGTCTGAGTTTCTACTTCTTAGGTGAGTTTCTACTTCTTTTTAGGGGAAATATTCTGCCTTTTTAATATTTCCCCGGGTATTTCATTTTTCTAGGAGAGGGGTAGGTGATAACTTCCTACACTTCCAACACTGATGATGTTATTATACCTTGTGGTGGGGTCATGAAACATCTGCGAGAAAACAACCCCAGCTCCCGGAGCACCAAGGACTCCACAGTTCAACTCTGTATTCCAGGGGTCTCCAAACTTGGCCACTTTTATAAGATTTGTGGACTTCAACTTGCAGAATTCCTCAGCTAGTCATGCTGCCTTGCCAATTCTGGGAGTTGAAGTCCACAAGTCTTAAAAGTTGCCAAGTTTGGAGACCCCCTGTTGTAATTCTCTTCTCTTGGCCTCCACTCTCTTAGAAAGCATCAAGGACCCCTTCTCCTCCTCTTCCTCTTCCTCCTCCCCCTCCCCCTCCACAAACCCTACTTCCTTCCAACACCGATGACCTTACTGAGAGAAAAGAATTATAAGTTACTCTTTTATAATGGAATTTTTAGGTAAAGACTAGAAGATTCTTCTCGGCTCTTTCTGATGCTTTTCTGTTCAATTCCTCTTTTTCTTTTTCTGCATAAAAGCCCCACCCTAAAACCCAAAATGTGTTCGGCGACAAGTACATGATACACTGTTATAAGGGACATCCTTCCAAGGTTGTCCAGCAGTAAAACAGGATAAGACACTGAAAAAAACAGAAAACAATGTTATGTTGACCCTCAAGCTTATAGTTAATCTCATTTTAGAATATAGAGAATATGTGTGTGTGTGGGGAAGGCTTCTTAGGCGTAGTGTGTTCTGTGCAGGGGTATAAAATGTATTGCTTCAATATGGAAACTTGTTCTTCTTGAGCCCAATCCACTTTCAAAGGGACTGGAAGACCCATTTGCAAACGAACCAGACCTGTTTCTCTGCTTTTTGAGTATGGAATAATTCGGGTCTTCCAACTCAAGTTACCTTGTGGGGGGGTCACGAAACATCTGCAAGGAAACAAGTCCAGCTCCTGGAGCGCCAAGGACCCCCACAGTTCAACCCTGTATTCTCTTCTCTTGGCCGTCACTTTCTAAAAAGACGGCGTCAGTTGATTAAAACAGGAATTCGGGCTTCCTGGCTCCCCAGCTGGACTGGACAAACTTTTGAGTCACCCAGGGCTCCTCACTTAAATCTGGCCTCCTGGACCCCTTTCCAGGTGGACATCCAGCCTGGTGTCTTTACCACACTGCAAGCTGTGGATATCACATGCTCATCGGAGGAAGAAAGCAAGAGGATCCCGAGAGATCTCTCCCCGTAAGGATTTCCTCAGACGCTGAAAATAAAACGGTTGAATGAGACGATCGGTAACAAACAAGGAAATTGCTTGAAATAAGGTATCCAGGCCAGCAAAATAAACAAAAAGATAAATAAAACAAGTGTTTCAACCAGCAGTGAACATAATACGATAAAATTCAGGATGATGGCATGGATCAGGGGTATCCAATCGTGGCAGTTTGAAGACCTGTGGGCTTCAGCTCCCAGAATTCCCCAGGAAGCATTCTTTAATGTGGGTGAACTTCAAATCCAAGAATTCTCCAGGAAGCATTCTTTAATGTGAGTGGACTTCAACTCCCAGAATTCCCCAGGAAGCATGCTTTAAAGTCCATGGAGCTCAAGTTCCAGAAATCCCCAGCCAACATGCTTTAAAGGTGGGGAAGACTTCAACTCCCAGAATTCCCCAACCAGCTGAACAACTTTAACATGGGTGGACTTCAGCTCCCAGAATGCGGGATTCTGGGAGTTGAAGTCCACCCATCTTCAACTCAGCAAATTTGAAAAACACTGACCTAGATGAAAGGCGTAGGCTGGTTTTTAGAACTGTTCTTCCGTTAACCAAGATAGTTATAAAATGACCCATCTGTTTATCCCCCTTTTTTCTTTTGGTAGAAATAACAAGCCAGCCTACTGTCTTATCTCCCTGGACTCTTTCTCCATGTAAGGATGTGGGACTTGTGCTATCTCGCTGGAGACACACCAAGAACAAACAAAGGGAAGTGATGAAGAATTGCACAGGGATAAGAGGGGGAAAACAAACCTTTTTTTTTTATTTTTAAGCCCACAGAATAAGGAAATAACATTAACAAGGGTGACCTCATCGATTGGCTGAGAGAGGTCGGCCGCTTGCAACCGTCCTCTCTCCTCTTTTTCCAGCTCTTCCGATGCCAGATTCAGAGGGAATCTGGCCACGGTTTCCCCCGATCAACACACGCCTTATTCCAAAGCAGACGCTTTCGTGAGAAGCCTCACGAAAGCTTCTGCTTTGGAGTCAAGACACATTCGTCGGAACAAGCCAGAACTTCCCGCCATCTCGGATCCCCCTCGACTGTCCTCCCAAAACCTCAGTTCCAATATATATATATATATATATATATATATATATGTATTATTCAGCTTTGTTCGAGTATTTTCCCACGTCATTATAGTTGTGCTTTTAAAGTTGTAGCAACCTTTCGGCAGAATCTCATCTGCCATCCTCAGGCTTCTGTCTTGTGTTCGTCTGTGAGTCAGACTTTCACAGCCGTTTCAGTTTTAAATTTGGGGCTAGCCTACTGCTGTGCCAGAATGGTTTTCTTCTTCATCCTGATTGGTTGGGAGTCTTGGTCTGTGTTGATTGGTCTTGGAGTTGGCTGTGTTCTGCTTGATTGGTGTTTCTAATATCTTCTGTCTGTTTTGTGGCTTTTTGTGTGTGTCTTGATTGGCTGGCAACGTTGCGTTCCAATCAAGACACAATACAGAAGCCTGATGATGGCAGATGAGATTCTGCCGAAAGGTTGCTACAACTTTAAAAGCACAACTACAAGGACGTGGGAAAATACCTGAACAAAGCTGAATGCCATATACATACATACATACATACATACATACATACATACATACATACATACATATCCCTCACTCAGCAGCTGGAAGAGTTGGGGAAGTGGCTTTTGGAGAAGGTTGCAGAAGTCACATCTGGAGCAAGTCCTTTCAGAGAAAGATGGACGATCCCAATCTGGCAGGGCTGGCCTTCCTCCCATCCTTTGTCCTCAGTGTTATGGTTCACCGGCAGAGCTGGTGCAGATGGCAGCAGAATCGGACAGTGGGGAAGAACGGGGACCAGTCAGGGAGTCTGGAGGGGACTCGGGTGAGGGTCCTGCATCCAATGCAGAGATGGGGCCAGGTCTATCTGGGAGCGGGGTGCTGCCTCCAGAGCCTTTGGAGTCCGGCAGCAGCGAGGCAGAGGACCCGGGGGAGCCTGTTCCCAGTGTGTGTGTGTGTGTGTGTGTGTGTGTGTGTGTGTGTGTGCAGAGGTGCTAGAAGGTGAGAGCAGCTGAAACAAAAGGGGTGACTCAGCAGTAAGGTTGGGAGGTGTTTGCCCTTCCCATATGGGATAAAAGTCAGGCCAAGATGATGAAACCTTTGCAGGAAGCAAAGTAAGTTGGATAGATTCCGAGTCCTCCTTGAAGCTCTCTGTACTCTGATTGTTTTTGTTTTTTTTCTGGTACTTTGGTTGGTTTCTTTTATATTTAATTGGGTACTTCTGTTTTTGGCAGCATTCCACAGCACTGAAAGGTGTGTGCTTATCTCGGGGAACTGTCTAAGATTAGTTCTGTCTGGGAATGAAAGCAATTCCCAGCGTTGCAATAAAATAGGTTTGGTTTTTAAAACAAGTTTGCGATTAATGACGTTTGAGGAAGCCTGAGTCAGAACACCCAGGTTCCAGCCACGGAAGGAGGCCAGGGTCTCTCTTGAGGTCCAACCCAACCGAAGTCCGTGGTAGGACTGCATAGTCCCTTTGTGATGGCAGCCCTGAGCCCTTGCTGCAATTCGAACAGCATTTTGTTTTTTTCATCCTGCTCGGTCTCCTCCAAGTCCGGACTAACAAGAGCCCCTCTTTGTACCCTTCCGCATCGTCATATTTCCCATGACCCGCAACTGTCCCGCTCACGGGAAGACAAAATCCGAGGCACGGATCTCCCTTTGGTTGGCCTTCTCCAACAGGTGGCTGCTCCTGGGCTCACCTCCGCAGCATCTTCACCTGGTTTCCGTTTCGGGTCTTCAAACAGCTGCTCCCGGCAAGCTCCCTCCGACTTCCCTACACAGAAGGGGAGAAAAAGTTGAGAAGCCTCTTCCATAGAGTCAGCCCGCCGGGCATTCCTACACCATCCTCTGGGCTCCATATTTTGGAGGGGGGGAGGGTAGAGAAGGGGAGACAATCCATCTTTCTATTCATCTCAATGATAGATTTGCTTATTTTAAATGTATTGGTTTTCAATAAATAAAGGGATAATTCGGTGGGTTGTAAGAGGAAATAAAGGGTGTGTCAGGATTCCAGCAGTTACCCCCATCTAAAAAATATTTCTATGGTAGATGCAGGTAGACAGAAATAGAAAAATAGATACAAAGAGAGAGAGCGGGGGGAGAGGGAGATTAGAGAGAGATAAATAGGAGATAGATAGATCGATAGATCGATAGATGATAGATAGATAAATGTAGATAGATGTGATAAATAAATGTAGATAGATAGATCTAGGTAGGTAGGTAGGTAGGTAGGTAGATAGATAGATAGATAGATAGATGATAGATAGATAGATAATTCTTCTATTGGTCTGCCACATACATTGGACACCTGGGCACAAACAGATCCCCCCTGATACCTCCAGCTCAAACACACCCCAACCAGGCACCCAGATGAAACCTAGCTTCCTAATAAATGATAGCCGTCCATTTACTCGGAGCCAAACTGCACTAAAAGCCTCCAATACAGGAACACAATGTTGCTAGCCAATCAAGATACAAAAAGAGCCACAAAACAGACAGAAGATATTAGAAACACCAATCAAGCAGAACACAGCCAACTCCAAGACCAATAAACACAGACCAAGACTCCCAAGCAATCAGGATGAAGAAAAAAAACCCATTCAAACAAAGCACGAGGCTAGCACCAAATTTTCTTCATCTTGATTGTTTGGGAGTCAGAAACAGCTGCGAAAGCCTGACAGACAGGACGAAGACAAACCCAATACACAAGCCTGATGATGGCAGATGAGATTCTGCCGAAACGTCGCTACAATTTTAAAAACACAACTATAAAGACGTGGGAAAATACCCGAACAAAGCTGAATACCATACATACATACATACATAGAAGAGTGTGTGTGTGTGTGTGTGTGTGTGTGTGTGTGTGTGTGTGTAAAAGAAGAAACAGACATCCTGCGATCTCCGGAACCTAAAATTATATTTAATGTACTTAGGGAGGTTTGCCTTTATATAACATTAACCAATTTAGCCTTGCATGGTCATGATAGGCCCTCTGAAATGCCTCCCATCTGTAATTAGTTCTGCTGTTTTTACCTCCGTCATGTTGGTCAAAGGAGGCTTGTATCTTGTTATTGCTTTCTCCCCGAGCTGGACCCAGCCTGGAATGCTTATCTTTAGGAGGAGATGTTAACATAGCAGCTATCTTAAATTTGTTGTTTTGCTTGTGACTTGTAGTTGGCCCGGCTAGTTCTCCCTTATCCCTCTCTGCTATAACTTGAGGCAGCTCTGCCGAATTCCCCTGTATTGGACAGGCCTGGCTAGGTCTTCATAGGGTGAGTCCACATGCCCAGGGATGGAGAGGTGACATCGGTCCCTGTTCCCCAATGGGAAGTGATCTCTGCTCCTCCTGCAGGGTCTTTCTTGGTGTCTCAGTGCCTGGTAGGCCGGTGGTAGTTCGACATGCCTATTGATAGAATTGCTGTTGGAAAACCAGGCTTCTTTTAAAAGGCGTCCTCCTTTGGTTATATCAGGGCTAAATTGGTTAAGGTTATATAACGGCAAACATCCCTGTAATGGTAGCTTAAAACTCTGACGTTGTCACCAGAGGCTGACGAAAGCTCAGTTAAGTACATTAAATGTAATTTTAGGTTCCGGAGATCGCAGTGTGCTGTCCAGCCAGTATATAGTAATGGGAATTGGTATAATTAGTTAGGAATTGAGAGCTGTCCCCTTAAGGGAATGCATCCTGGTAAATGTACTTAAGGTATCCTGGGAAATGTAGTCCATGTCATGTGGCCACATCTGTAATCCTGATTGGTCACTGAACTGACCCTTGGTGGGTCGGGGGAGGTTTCTGCACTCTTGCCTGGAACCCAGCAACATGCTGCTGCCTCACCCCCTTCCTCCTTCATTTTGGGGATGAAAGATTACTATCCTTTTACGCCAGAAACTCAGCTAGGCAAAGAGTTGGACATTGAGATGAATCTCAACATAACCGTGAGTTATTGAGGATGCCCGATGAACCAATAAAAAGGCTTTGTATGGATGCTTTGTGGAATTATCTATCTGCCTTTATACATTCAGTCAGTAATTATAGAGGACAGTTTAGTAAAAGGATGGTTATATCTTCGAATTCCCAAGACAAGTAAAGGGATTGTAAAATGTATCTGGATTCCCAACATATACCTGGAACTCATATTTTTAGAATAGTTTTTTTTTATCTATCTATCTATCTATCTATCTATCTATCTATCTATCTATCTATCTTTGGTTATTTGGGTTTTCCCCCGCGTAAAATTGGAAGTATTTTGGCAACGTTTCGACGAAATCTCATTCGTCATCTTCAGGCTTGTGTCTTCGGCTTTGTGCTTCTTGGAGTAATGTGAGCTTGCAGCTGTTTTTTCTTTTAACTGCCAGTGGGATTGCGACTTGACTGGGTGGGGGTCACCAAAATACTTCCAATTTTATGTGGGAGAAAACCCGAATAACCAAAGATCCACATACAAATACCCGCGAAAACCTCCGAAAATAAATATATATATATATATATATATACACACACACACACACACACACACACACACACACACACATATATATATATATATACATACACACACACACACACACACACACACATATACATACATACATATTTATCCTATCATGCTTACGTAGTGTAAAATTGGAAGTGGTGACCCTCTTAAGAACTGTATGCAATGAAATTTCATTTTTAATGTGTGCCAATTAGTATACATTCCAAGTGACAATAAAGTAATAAAGTTATTCTATTCTATTATGATCATCCCTAGATCCAGTGATCATCCTTGGGGGCTTTTCAAGAAGAGATTGCACAGCCATTTGTCTGGAATGGTATAGGATCTCCTGCTGGAGCAAGGGGCTAGACTAGATGACCCTTCCAACTCTTGTTATTCAGGGTTTTTTTCCTCCACGTAGCCAATACCAGAGAGGAGAGTGGAAGTTTTCATGCCAAGGAGAGGCTGGCTCTTCCTAAGGAATTGCACTTCTGATTCAACTATGATGCAGAGTATAAGCCGACGTGTGAATGTCCCAAGTTTGCTTTTATTTTCCAAAAAGCAGCTGGGCTTCGTTTTTCCTTGAAGACATTTCGCTTCTCATCCAAGAAGCTTCTTCAGTTCTGGCTGTTGCATCCAATCTTCTTTATTAGGAAAAAGGACGAGAACGCATAAAGGCATTTCCAATGAATGTTGGAAATGCAAATTTAAAGAAGGGACTTTTTAATCATTTATGGTGGATGTGTGACATAGCAAACAAGCATTGGAGCAATATTCACATCTTAATACAGAAAATTCTTAAAGTGAATGTGCACAGAAAGCCAGAGACTTTTCTTTGGGGTATTACTACTCCTTTACAAAGCCTTAGTAAGGCGACACCTGGAATACATCAACCAATTTTGGTCACTGTTACTGCAAAAAAGATGTCGAGACTTTGGAAAAAGGTTCAGCAAAGAGCAACTAAGAGGATCCAAGCAGGGGTGGAATGCAAATATTTTTACGACCAGTTCTGTGGGCGTGGCATGGTGGCCATGTGACTGGGTGGGTGTGGCCCTTTTTTTGCAGCAACCCCGCTCCCCTACGCTCCGTTTTTTCCCTCCTCGGCAAAGCAGTAAGACAGCGAGAGGGATCCCGGCATAGCCGATTGTCGGAACAGCTGATCGTCGGGAAGAAAAAAGAAATACCAGTTTGGCTGAACCGGCAGCTGTTTCTTTTACTACCAGTTCGTCCGAACCAGTACAATACCACCACTGGATCAAAGGCCTGGAAACCAAAACATATGAAGAATAGTTGTAGAATTTGGGTTTGGCTAGTCTGAAGAAAAGAAGAATGAGGGGTCATTCTTAGCACTATTCCATTACTTGAAGGGCTGCCACAAAGAGGAGAGGCTCAAATTATTCCGCAAAGTAACCTGAAGGCAGGACAAGAAGCAACGGATGGAAACTAATCAAGGAGAGAAGCAACTTAGAACTAAGGAGACATTTCCTGACAGTGAGGACAATTAACCAGTGGAACAGCTTGCCACAAGAAATCATGGCTGCTCCATCACTGGAGGTTTTTAAGAAGAGACTGGACAGACACTTATCTGAAGTAGTATAGGTTCTCCTGCTTGAGCAGCAGGCTGGACTAGAAGACCTCCAAGGTCCCTTCCAGATCATTCATTCTAAAAGAGGTGTCAGGGTTTAATGGAAAAGGTCTTGGGGGGAAAAATCCTGGAACTCGGATGCTATTGTTGTTGGCGACAAGACTACTCTATGCAGAGAAATTCTGGAATGCACAGAGATGGATAGGTTAACCCTAAAAATTAAAGGGAAAGGAGAATCGAACTATTTCATAACATAGGAACTGTTCTATGCATGGTTAAATAATAAATATTAAGGATAGAGGAGTGGAATTAGGTGAAATATGGTTTATAGGAGAAAGAAAGACAGTTGAGGAAATATTTCTGATGGTTATATAATCGATACTATAACGAAAGATAATATATGTTATGATTGATGTTATCGCATATTTGTTTATATATTATTATTTGTGTATACACTCACACACACACACACACACACACATACACACACACACATACATACATACATACATACATCACTATACAGAAGCCTGATGATGGCAGATGTGATTCTGCCGAAACGTTGCTACAACTTTAAAAGCACAACTACAATGACGTGGGAAAATACCCGAACAAAGCTGAATGCCATACATGTAAGTACCCGCGAAAACTTGAGAATATATATATACACTCAAGTTTTCACGGGTAAATATGATTATAATAACGATGATGTTT